ACAAACGATCCTTATTTAAGTCAGATGAAAACTGAATTTCATTGTCTAACAAATTTTAAAGAAGAAGACTTAGAAAAGAAGCCACTAAGCATTTGCCATGTCTCTCTTCGATACTTATAAGGTGATATAAGAACGGCAACACGCTGTCTATTTGTTTGTAGTTAAGCGCAAAGCTACACAATAGACTATTTGTGCTTTGCCCACCAGGAGTAACGAAATTCGATTTTTAATGTTATAAGTCCGCAGACATACCGCTGAACTACAGTGAGACCACGCTTTCTGACAGCTGATGATAACGATGATGCAACTCCTATAACCCTCAGATTACTAACTTGTGTTATAGCGGTGGTTAACGGTAAGTTCCATATGTTGCATCCTAATGAGTAAGTTTATGTTTTTGGCTGTTTCAATACTCTTAGTAAAGAACTAACCAAAGAAAATGTGGGCAAAATCACCCGTCTTCTGTGTAAAATACATAGGGGGGATCCCCCCACTAATTAGTCAGATTAATTTAAGTAATAATAGTCGTATTTTTGTTTATTTTTGTGTGATGTCATATTTATTATAGACTTTGTAACCAATAAAGTCGTTAGTATGTTCCCCCCCCCAAATAAATCATTATGCTTATAAATCGTTGTTTGTCAACTTATTATTATATTAACATAGTATGATTCCTTACTGAATTAAAAAGCGATACACCCCAAAACAATTTGGTGCATAAATAGTTTAGAAAAATATGTATAAAAGCGATGGGGTCGGACCCCATTAGCAACTGATCTAGGACTAAGTCGTACTCTATAAGCATGAACAAGTTGCGTCAGTGGCGTGTCCAGCAGGATGGCGTGGGGGACAGACCCCCCAATGGAGATATCTGCCGCTCATGAAATATCAAGATTTATTATTTTTAAACTTTTTTTTTAAATTGTGACTCACTCTGACAGTAAAGTGTTATTTGTTTCGACAGCTGAGGTAGCCATACTATGTAACCTGAACTGAAAAAAATAAATTCTAATCATATGAGACCTAAGGGGAGGATTTAATGGTTGTTAAAACAGCATCGAACCCACGACCAGCATATTGCGAGTCGAGCGCTCTAACCACCTGGTCATGCCAGACCGTACAGCAGAGGCTCTAACAAAGTTGAATTTGAAAACAAGATGCAGCCATTCGTCCCTTAACAGGTGATAAATACAAAACACAAAACAATAAGTGATAAAAGTGACAGTCAATCTCATGATTCAGTTGAAAGATCTGGAAAAAAGTTTTGTGGTGGCGGTTGCTCTGGCTGGCTTGCCTTCCTTCTGGTCCTAGGGATTTCTATCCTAGCCGTTTAGCTCACGTGCGTATAAATAGCCGCTTGGAGTGAAAATTAGAATTTCTCACAGATTTTACCATACTTTACGTATACGTAAACAGGTATTACCATACTTTACGTATACGTAAACAGGTATTACCATACTTTACGTATACAGAAACAGATTTTACCTTAGTTTACGTATACATAAACAGGTGTTACCATACTTTACGTATACGTAAACAGGTGTTACTATACTTTACGTATAGTGAACAGATTTTACCTTAGTTTACTTTCACATAGCATTAAACTGTGTTTAGACGTTGCATTAAATTTCACAGATGTTATCACACTTTATTTACACGTTGCATTAAACTTCGCAGATTTTATCACACTTTATTTACACGTTACATTAAACTTCGCAGATTTTATCACACTTTATTTACACGTTGCATTAAACTTCGCAGGTTTTATCACACTTTATTTACACGTTGCATTAAACTTCGCAGATTTTATTACAGTTTATTTACACGTTGCATTAAACTTCGCAGATTTTATCACACTTTATTTACACGTTGCATTAAACTTCGCAGATTTTATACAGTTTATTTACACGTTGCATTAAACTTCGCAGATTTTATCACACTTTATTTACACGTTGCATTAAACTTCGCAGATTTTATCACACTTTATTTACACGTTGCATGAAATTTCGCAGATTTTATCACACTTTATTTACACGTTGCATGAAATTTTGCAGATTTTATCACACTTTATTTACACGTTGCATGAAATTTCGCAGAAGAAAGGCACAGTTAAATTTTTGCCGTTTACAGATTTTCTGTAAGGAAAGACACTTTCATGTATTTTTCATAAATAGATGTCTACGTATCCTAAGTTTTCTTTTCCGTCAAATAACCATTTTTTTTATATGTAAAAAGTGTTATCGTTAATAGATCCGCATGCGGAAAAAAGATCTACAATAAATAAGCCGTTGTACAACAAAATGTTTCACACATAGTTTAGTAAATCTGAATGTTTAACAACATCTTTCACACATAGTTTATTATATGTTAACTTATTGTTGTTTGTTATTAAGCATAAGCACAAAGCTACACAAAGGACTATCTGTACTCTACGCACCACGGGTATCGAAACCCGGTTTCTAGCAGTATAAGTCCGCATAGATACCACTGTGCCACTGGGAGGGGGGGAGCTGGCTGTTAAGAATTTGTTCGTTTGTTTTAAAATAAAGCCATATATGACTGTCTTCTGTGTTCACCGCGGTGAATCGAACCTCGAATTTTAGCGTTGTAAGTCCGGAAACTTACCGCTGTTCTTTCTGTTACAAAACACTAGATTTTAGAAAGTGGTCCGAGAAATTCGTAATGAGTTTTGTTCGCCACGTGATTAAGAAATTAATTTATTTATATTGAGTATCAAGTTAATTTAGATCATCAAATTTCGTTCAAAGTTTTTTGTTGATCTTTTCATGCAGACATAATGGGAGGGCGGAGCCGTTTTTTCTTCTTCTTCTTTTTCTGACCATTTCAGATCCTTGAGGTGTTTGCGCAGATACATATTTATCTAGGTACCTGTTAGTTTTATTAAGTTCGTACTAAATTGGCTTTCAGGGGCAAGCTTGACGATCCCACGTATTTTGGTAACCCATCCGGTTTAGATACAGTTTTTATTAATTTTGTAGTCTGTTGGAACTAATTTTTGTCCATTAATCACAAAATATGCATACAAATTCAAAGAGGCCAGGCATGGCCAGGTGGTTAGGGCACTCGACTCGCAATCGGAGGTCGCGGGTTCGAATCCCCGTCACACCAAATATG